ATCCTATACATGATTCTCACACTCTCTTCCACCACCTTATTTACTCCTCTTCCTGGACTGATCTTTTCTTCCTCAGACTTCAACCACTATGGAGGTTGACCTACTTCCCTCCTATCTCCCTTCTTCTGTCTCTCACTTATTGGACTGTTCAAACCTGGATTGACTCCTGTGTCCTGTTGAGCTGTTCGGTATGCCTTCTCTGAGATCTCTCCCTTTTGGGGTCTCCATCCTCACCTGTCCTTATCTTGAAACTCCTCTTTTTTTTTCCAAGTCTTTCAACTCCTCTGGCTAGTATGTTTGTATCCGGATGTGGATGATTGCAGACTTTTTCATATTTCTTTGCATTCCATTCATCACCTTTTTCATTCTCTTGCATCACTTCTTCACCTGTCCAAGGACAAGCTTCTCTAGGTGGACATTTGAACACTCTTCACACAATTGCCTCCTTCTCTTCACTTTTTGTCTGTTTTATCTTCTGATGGTTTTTGGATTCCATAGGTCACCATTATTCAATCTTCACATGTTTTTGGAGAAGAATATATACTCTTTCTCTTTCAGAGCCCCTTTTTAATTTCAAAGGATCCCACCAGGTGGTTGATGTTGCCTCCCAGGGTATACTTATCCAAAATCTGCATCAAGTCAGGATAACGAAAAGCACTCATACCATCTTCCCTGGCTCTACCTGTACCCACTGTGAGATGGAATGTTCTGCAGTACCACTTGAGGTATCCTCGTGGAATATATAGATCTATGTTTACTCAATTGCTTAATCCAGACCGTACCTATTCCATGGACTATCTGGCTTGTGCCTGCTGGCTTTTAAAAATAGTGTTTTGTGGTCATCCATTGCACTGTCTCCAGTAAAATACCTTTCTGGACTGAAGGGCCAATGGCACTTTCTCCAGGTCTCCCCTGCATGCACAAATTCTCTCCCCTTCATTGAATGGAGCAAGGGAGACCCTTGCAACTTATCAATTAGTAGTCATTGGGTTGATGGACCATGGAGAACCATTACCAGGTGAACTCAACCACTGGGGTGATGCAAAGGAGTACCAATACAGTGAAAACTGGGATGATGGTGACATTGCTAGTGTAGTGCAGGTCATCCCTTATATACATCACTCATGTCAATTGTGCACATATTACATATGGACCAATACTGCTTCTCTGTCCCTTTCCTTTATGAGTGAAGAGTATGTTCTGGATGAGATGAGATGTAGTCTCCCATGGGTGTGTCCCTATGGAGCCTCTGCCATCAGGTGACACACCCCATGGGCTTCCTTTGGGCACTTTCTGAAGGATGCTCATCTAGACAAAATTTGCATTGGCCCTTCCACCCATTCAGTGTAGGATTTTAGCTAAACTGTTTGCAGAGATGAGGTATTGTCTCAGAAGTTAACATTTTCCTTACCTGAAAATGTATTTCTGATATTCACTTCTGAAAACATTAGAACCCATTCTCTCCACTTCCAGTGCATCTTTTTTTCCTTGCCTTATCGAATAATATAGCTCCATGAGTGCAAGTGCATAAGGGAGCCTTGCATATGGGGGTGTGTTGCCCTCCTATTGGTGG